GTCATTTTTCACAATCTTCAACTCGTGCCATAGTGTTTGTGCTGTCCAATAACTGTATTTTTCATTTGTAGAATTTCTATTTGGTTCTTTTCTAAACCCATCTTTCTTCTTTTCCTTCTTCCTTTAAATACCAGTGCACCCTCTCCTTCCTTTGTCTGTGTGGCTGTATCAATACTTAATTTTGACTCGAAGTTCATTTTTAGCAGGGATTGTTTTCCGTAACACTGCCTTGTTCTGCCCTGAGTTCAGGTTCAGCTCACCCTGCCTTGTTCTGCCCTGAGTTCAGGTTCCGCTCACCCTGCCTTGTTCTGCCCTGAGTTCAAGTTCAGCTCACCCTGCCTTGTTCTGCCCTGAGTTCAGGTTCCGCTCACCCTGCCTTGTTCTGCATCTGCAGACTGGCTTGTCTCACGGCCGGCAGGTGTCATCCTTCCACGCTCAATCTCAGGTCTCTGTGAGCCCATCTGCTTTTGGTCACTCATTTTTCTGACTGTGGGTTCCCCTCTTTGTTTCTGGCATTTGGAGTTTGCTCTTTCTTGAGCCCAGCTGTATATTTTTAAAGGTGTTTCTCATGAACTTGTTCACAGAATGGGGGTATTCTTCTGCATCTGTTCAGTCTGCAGAAGTCTTATTAGCAGGCTTTGAAACCTACTTGGCACAGTCCCATGAACACAGATCTTTACTATATTTATTTTTTTTTCCCTCTAACATTAAGATTTTTACCATTAGGCAACTTCACAAAATGAGGCCTTCCAACAATGAATTGTTCTTCTTTTTAGTAAACAATCATTTCTCTACTTTTTTTTTAAACAGGGTCTTGCTCTATTGCCCAGGCGAGAGTGCAGTGGCATCACCATAGCTCACTGTGACCTCAAACTCCTGGGCTCAAGTAATCTTCCTGCCTTAGACTCCCAAGTAGCTAGGACAACAGACACACGCCACCATGTCTGGCTACTTTTCCTTTTTTAGAAAATGAGGTCTTGTTTTGTTGCTCAGGCTGGTCCTTAAGCTCCTGGCCTCAAGCCATCCCCCTCCCTGGGCTTCCCA